AGATTGGAAGATGCCGGTCTGCTGACTCTGAGGATGGAGCCCACGCCCTCCCCAGGAGCCTTCAGCGGAGCGCAGCCTCGCCACACGCCCGTGCCGAGGGCCTCTGCCCTCCACAGTGGCAGGAAATTAAGTCTGTGCCACTTGAAGCTGCGGGAACCGTTTCCCAGGGCTGTGGTAACACGTCTCCACAAGCCCATGGCTTCACACCACGTGATTTTTACTTTCTCACGGCTCTGGAGCCCACAAGTCCAAAACTAAGGTGTCGGGGGGCGCTCTTCTCTCTGACGGCCCAGGGAGAACGTGTCCCAGGCCCGTCTCCACGGCTGGTGTTGCTGGCAGCCCTTGGCTTGTAAATGCTTCGCTCCAGTCTCTGTCGGCACGGAGGCTGTGTCTTTGCTTCTCTTCTTGTAAGATCCATCACCGCAGATCAAGGACCGGCCCTACTCCAGTATTATCTTAACTAATGGCACCTGCCGCAGCCCAAATAAGGTCACATTCTTTTTAAATTTTTACTTATTTTTGACTGTGCTGGGTCTTCACTGCAGGCTTCCTCTAGTTGGGGTGCGCCGGGCACCCAGCCGCAGCCCCTCATCGCGGTGGCTCCCCGTGTTAGAAGCACAGGCTCTCGGCTCGGTGGGTTATGGTCTATAGGCTTAGTTGCTCCGCAGCATAAGGGGTCTGCCCGGACCAGGGACCAAACCCGTGTCCCCTGCATTGGCAGATGGACTCCTATCGACTGTGCCACCAGGGATGTCCTGTGGTCACATTCTGAAGTTCCAGGAAGGAGACGAATTTGGAGGGGGGGGACACACCAGCCAACCCAGGGTAGCCCCCAAGGGTTGGAAACTCCTGCACTGGCCGTGGACTGCCGTTCTCTGCTGACCCAGTCGGGCTGGAGAAGTTGCGACTGCTGCCTTGGGAATGCATCAGTAACCTGAACGTCATGGATTTATTCTCTTCTAGCAAAACAGGATTCGTTCTTGCCTTTAGAGCCAGTGAAATCCAATGGGTGTTTTGGGAGTCGGTGCTTTTCTAGAAACGGTGGTGTCGGGAGAACAGGCTGGGGCCCTTGATTCCACGGGCTGTTGCGACACGTGGTCCCACCATCCCGGAGCCGCCAGTGTCGTACCCTGACCGCGCCCCACTCCCCAGCTTGTGGGCCAGACTGGGGGTTCTTCCCACGCTCCCCAGCCTGGAGCTGCCGTTTGCTGTGGTCACTTGAGCCGTGGAGGCTCCGGGCAGCCCTGGCTGAGGAACATCGTTCTGAGAAGGTGCCAGCGCGTTGGCCCGGAGTTCCCCGGGGAGGAAGGGCAGAACCAGCGTCGGCTCTCAGGAGTCGTGGCCCTTGCGGCTGGTGGAGCAGCTCGCTGGGCTCCTGCTTAGTTGTTTTTCTGTGAAGTTTTTTTATTTTTAAAAAAGAAACAACAAAACACTCTTGTTTGCTTATTTGTAATTTATTTTTAGCCGTGCTGGGTCTCTGTTGCCACACACAGGCGTTCTCTGGTTGCAGCGAGCGGGGGCCACTCTCCAGTTGCGACACTCAGTCGTCTCGTGGTGGTGGCTTCTCTTGTGCATCACGGGCTCTAGGCATCCAGGCTCGTGGGCTTAGCTGCCCCGCAGCACAGAGAATCTTCCTGGACCAGGGATCGAACCCGTGTCCCCTGCATCGGGAGGTGGATTCTTAACCACTGGACCGCCAGGGAAGTCCTGTGTGCAGGTTTGATCTGAACGTCAGAAGCTCCAGGAGCAGCAGTGTGCAGGCAGGCAGGCAGCAGGGGTTCGGCATGGAGGCGGCCGGGCTGGCGGGGGAGGGAGGCAGGAGGACGGGCGGGCAGAGCTGCTTCCTCCTGCCCTGGCCTCCTCCTTGCCTCCCCCCACCCCGCCCCCAGCTCTCCTGTCCTTCCCCTATCACAGACACTCCATTCAGCAGCCCCCTCGGGTCCAGCCTCTGCTCTCCCCCTCATGTTCCCGCCCCGGGGCAGCCTGGCGGGCCCTCCCCACGGCTGCGCTGTGCCGAGTCCTGGCCATCACGTGGGCTCTGCCACCGGCCAGGGCGCCCTCGTGGCCGGGAGCGTGGCTTCGGCATGGCCCTGGAATTCGGGGGCTGCTGCCCTTGTAGTTGCAGCACTTCTGTAGGGTTTTGAGTCTATGGGTAGCTCGGTGTCTGCCGTGTTGTTGAGATGTGGGCGGTTACTTTGTTCCTCTCACAAGCTCACTGTCCCTGAGTTTCAGCCCCAGTGGAAGTGGGGACAAAGAGGACATGTGGGGTCAGAAAAGCCTGAGAACCTCCAAGGCCACCCGCTCGAGAACCGCAGCCCAAGCCACTTTGCACGCGTGAGCGTCTTCCTTCCTCAGACGACGTGCCCGCCAGCAGAGACGCTCCCTTCTAAGTTGGGGTGGCAGGGGGGGAGCAAGGCGCCCTGTTCACTCATGTGAGGGAATCTGCCGGTCTGTCTTTCAGAAAGCACGAGTGGTGTTAATGCCATCCATCCTTTATGCCAGCTTGAGCACTGTCACATCGAGTGGTTTCGTTTGCATATCTGATGTTGAGCTTTATCTGTGTGTCCAACGTGGATCTGCTCCCCCTGAACAGAGACCTGGGGCTTGGCACGGCCAGAGTGCACCATCGGGGACCCGGGTCCCCTCCCTTGTTCAGCCCCTCCCTGCACTCCGCCCCCAGAGCCACCTCTTTAACCTGGACCTCTGCTCAAATGCCCACACAGTCCGTTTGGCCACGGGACGGAGGCCCAGGCCCCTCAGCCGTGCCCCTTCCCCGCTCCAGCTTGCGGCTCTGCGCCCCTTCTCCCGACCCTGCCCTCCTGTGTGTGACTGCCGCCTCTGTGCAGGCTTCCCGGGATGCACCCAAGATCAGTCGTCCGTTCACTGCCCTCCCCCTCCCTCCTCGTGTCCTCACCGTGTCTCTGGGAGGCACTGGCGGCCCCTCCCCACAGGACAGACTGTGCTGCTCAGCAGTTGCTGACCCAGTGCCTTCCCAGCCCGCCCCCAAACACCCAGCCAGCGCCCTGGGAGCAGAGAAGCAGTTCCCCGTGTCCCGGGCAGCTGGAGCTGACCTGGACCCCAGAGCCGCTTGCTGAGGTGCAATGACCTCCCCCCACCCCAACTACCCGGCCCTCCCGCAGGAAGGTGCTCAGAGTACCGGGGCTCACGCTCAGGCTGACCACAGCCAGCATGCCCCCCCACGCCCCTCCAGGTCCCCAGCGGCAGCCACGCTGACCAGTGAGTCAGTGGTTATTCTGGTTATCAGACATGTTGAACCCGGGAAGCAAGAGGAGGTTGCATTGTAACTCAGAGCCGCGGACAGGCCTGGAGGCTGCAGAATTCCTGCAACTGTGGCCCTGGGCGATCTCAGAGCACCTCCTGGCCCCCAGACCTACCTCATCGGGTCGTCAGCGAACACTCACCAAGGCAGCGCCTTGCCCAGGGCCCAGCACCCAGCCATTTGAGCCTCCCGTAGGTGATCCAGGAGGAGGAACCACCTCCGTGCAGACCACCTGGGTTCAGACCCAGCCACCTCCGTGCAGACCACCTGGGTTCAGACCCAGCCACCTCCGTGCAGACCACCTGGGTTCAGACCCAGCCCTGCCCCCTCCCAGCAGGGCCCCAAACCTGTGATTCGGTGTCAGGAGCCGAGTTTTCACGCCTGCAGAGTGGGGACAGTCGCCGTCTGCTGGCCACCTTGCGGCTCAGCGTTCTCGTTGGTCAGGCGAGGGGTCAGGACCTGGCCTGGCATGTGCGGTCTCCGGACGCCGGGTTGTTTCAGGGCTGCAGTGGGGCTGGATGGGTGGGGTGAAGCCCTGTCCCCGGCCCGGCTGCCCCCCACCGCCTCCTTGCTAGGGGGGGGCGGGGCAGGCCCTCCGCGGCTGGCCAGGCACTGCCCCCAGCTCAGGGGGTGCTCAGCAGTGACTCAGCCACGCCGCCCCCACACACCCTGCCTGCCATGGGAGGAAGTCTGTTCCCTCACACTGTGTACTTTTTGCAAAAATTTGTATCTTGGGTTACAGATTTTCGTCACCAGAAATGTATATATATAAAAGTCTCTTGCTGATTATTTCTGAAACAAGGCATCTTAGAAACCCTGGACACTCACAGGCTCTGGCCCTCACAGGCTGGTATTGAAGTGGCTACAGAGCCCAGGCCAGCCGTCCACCCCGCCGCATTCTCCACGGAGCGCCCCCCAAACACAGGCTGGACTGGCCGGGGGCCAGGCTCCAAGGTACCCCAGACTGTAGGACGGGGTGCGAGGGTCCTGGGGCCCCAGGAGAGGGGGTGGTGGGAGGGGAGTGAGCCGGGGGTCCCCGCAGCCCGGTGTGAGGGGGCTGCTCTGTAGGCAGACAGACTAGCCCGCGGTGGGGGCGGGGGGAGCATGGGGCTGGACTTCACCTCCCCGAGCCCCATCGCCTGTCTGTCCCCCGGGGATGGCACAGTCCCTGCCTGATAAGGCCGTTGAGAGCCCACGGCCGGTTTCTCCACACGCAAGACCCCACAGGCAAGCGTGGCCTTGCTCCTCGGGGGAGCCCTGCAGCATCAGGGAGGGGCTGTGACTGTGGCCTGGGGGTCTCCAGGGGGGCGCGGAAGGTGGGCTGGCGTTGAGCCGGGGACACAGAGGGGAAGCCCCGAAGCAGGAGCAGCACTGTCTGCAGGGAGCGGGCAGCCTGGTGCCGCCGGGGGTGGGCGGAGAGCAGACAGCGAGGTGAGGTGCGGGCAGTGGGGGGAAGCGGGGTCCGTGGGGCCCGGCCTGTGATTCGGGGACTCTGCTTCTTCCCATGGGTCTGGGATGGGCACTGCCCACCCCTGCCTGCACCCTGCAGAGCTCAGCTAGGCCCTGTCATTCAAGCTGGTCCCCTCTCGTCCCGCCACTGGGGGGCTGGCAGACACCCCGCCCTCACCCAGGCAGCTCTCTCTCCTGGCAGCTCTACCTGCCCCTCCGTCCCGGCCTCCCTCTTGCCGGGCCCTGAGAACCACGCCGCGTCTCTCCACAGATGACTCTGGGGACGACGAGGACGGGACGCCCTCCCCAGCCGACAAGAGTGAGCTCCACGGCACCATCAGGAGTCTCTCGCTGAAGCTGGACGACCTCGGCACGTGCAATGAGCTCGTGGCCAAGCACGGGGTGGCCCTGCAGCGCTCGCTGAACGAGCTGGACAGCCTCCGCGTCCCGGCCGAGAGCGGAGAGAAGCTGAAGGCGGTCAACGAGCGGGCCACCCTCTTCCGCATCACGTCCAATGCTATGATCAACGTGAGTGCCCGGCCCGCGGGGAGGGGCCGCTCACTCCCCGCTGGGTGGTCCAGGCTCCCCCTCCACGTCACCCTATCCACGCCCCCGGGGCTGGGCCAGGTCACTGGCCCTCACTGTCGGGTGGAGCCCGGAGCTGGGCGTGGGGCCCAGCGGGGGCTTCCTGGGCACGGGAGGCCATTCCGAGCGGATCAGTGAGCTCAGTGTCCACAGCGGGGATGTGGCTGCCACACTGCCCTGCCATAGCTGCTGCCCAGACGCAGTGTGTCCCGGACCCGTGACCAGGGGGACTCATGCATGTGGGGTGGGGGGCAGGCACTGGGGGGTCCCTGGGCCAGCAGAGCTTCCCAGCTGAGGCCACTGCGGTCTTGCCCACCTGAGGGTAAGGGGCTAAACGAGGGGCCACGTGTGTGGACTGAGGGTTCAGCCCCAGGGGTCACCCTCTGCACGGGTCCCGGGAGCCACACGGGAATATGACCGAGAACCCGGAAGGCCTCTCCGTGGTGGCGGAGGACAAGGCTGAGCCGGGCCACAGGGCCCGCCCTCTCTCGGCCTGATGAGTGCCCCCTCTGGACACAGGCCTGCCGGCCCCCCAGGAGGGCACACCCCGGCCGGGCTGGTGGCGCTGGGAGCCGGGGCCAGGCGTGGGGAGTGGAGGCAGGTTCAGGGGACGAGGCCTGGGCAGGTGTCAGGCCGGCCACAGCAGCAGTCGGCCGTTCCCGGCTGGGGACTCGGGCCCTGCAGCGAGAGGCCTGAGCGGAGGCTGGGCCGTCCATCCAGCAGCAGGGGAGCCAAGGGCAGTGGGGCGGTGGGGGCTGCAGCCCACTGCACGCCCGGCCCTGCACCCCGTCCCCGGACTCCAGGGCCCTGAGTCAGTGCGCGTCTCCTGGTGACAGGCCGGAGGGCTGAGAATGCGCCCGGCCTCCCCACCTGCCGAGCCTGGAGCCGCGTTGTTTCCATGGGCCGTTCTGGTTTTTCCCAGATAATGAGCTGCTCGGTTAGCATCTCTAGCCTAAAGAATTTATCAGGCATCAGAGGCTCGTCTGTGTTTACGAAGCCGTAAAGATGGCTTGCCACCTGAGCGCCTAATGAATTGTGTGGCGGGAAGGAAGCTGAAGCCCTGGGGTTGGTCAGGAAGCCTGTGGGCAGGGCTGGCACCAGGAGACGCGGGCCGCGTGGCGGAACCTGCACTCTGCCCGCCACGAACGTGACCCCGAGGAGGGCCCCGCCATGTCTGGCTCCCATGAGGGGCAGAGAAGTGAGGTGCTGGGTGGCCAGGCTCGAGCAGAGGCCCCATTCCTTCCGGGGACCCTTCCCTTCAGCTGCTCTTCGCCCAGCAGGAGTCGGCGTGGCTCTGGGTGGGTGGTCTGCGTGGCTGACAGACCCCCACCGTGTGCAGACGGGCCGCACAGGCGGTGCAGCCTCACCCCCGGCCAGGCCTCGGCCTCCACCCCGGTTTTTAGGAGGGGTTGGACCAAGGAGCTGTAACCGAGGCCCATCCCACCCAGGACCCCTTACCCTCCCCAAGGCCTCACTGTTGATACCCATGTGGAGAGCTGCCCCGGCCTCCAGCCGCTAAGTCCAGCTTGTCTAAGCTGGATACAAGCCCAGGTCTGTGCAGCCTGTGGGGGGAGTGACAGTCCTCGTGACGATCGGGGTGAGACCCCCAAGGGCCACAGAGGCCCCTGCTACTCTGAGGTCAACACGGGGAAGGTGCCTCTGTCCAGGCCAAGCCCCGTCTCAGACGCCGAGACCTTGATTCCCCTCTTACCTTTGGGCAGCAGCTGCACAGGGTCTTTCCTGCAGCAGTGGGGACCCAGCATGGGCGGGAGCTGCCCCAGCTGTCCCCCAGGTCTCACGGGAGGAGGAGGAAGCTGGACCTCCCGCTGCTGGGCGCCCCTGCCTCTCCACCACCCCCCTCCCAGCTCCCTGCCCTGACCAAGGGGAGCCCTCCACAGGAAACTGGGGGACCTCTCCTCCCACCCACTCCCAGCCCCCACCCTGCCCCAACGGGAGGGACTCCTCCATGGGAACCTGGGGACCTCTCCTCCCACCTCCCGTGGACGGTGAACAGCTGTGGGGTCTCCACCGCACAGGCTCCAGTTGAGCCTGGGTCGTGGCAGGGGAGCAGAGAATGGGCCAGCTGGTCAGGCGGTCACCTCCTCGGGAGGGCCCCAGGCAGGCGGCACTCGCCCCCGGGGAGGCGGCTGCTGCACCTTCACTTTACCCGAGAGTCCGGGGCTGAGCAGCCTTCAGGAGAGAAGCAGGGGGAGGCTGCGGAACCTCCTTCAGATCTGCGAGGAGGCAGCGCTGTTCTCAGCCTTTAGATCCCAAGTTCCCAGCAGGACAGGGAGGGAGGCGCTCTGGACAGTTTCCAAGGCGCCAGGGACTGTGGTGACTGAGGCAGGCCCCTCCGTGGCCCTGCTCCCCGAGGGCACCCGGCCCTCAACCGGAGGGTGGCCCCTCTGGTGCATGTCCGAGGGCACAGGAGCTGGGGGTCCTGCGTCACGGATACTGCTGCACCTCCTAGAACCCCCCCCCCTCCACCGCTGCTGGGAAGATCCCTGCTCATCTTTCCAAGGCCCCTGGACGTCACCACGGCCAGGAGGTCCTTCTGTTAGATCCCACAGGGCCCAGGGGCACAACTGAGCCCGCCGAGCAGTCTTTAGCCCGCTATCTCCACATCCGATCCCCCAACAAACGCCATACCCCTCAGGTCAAGTGCAGGTCTTACCTGTGGCCCTAACAGTGACCCGGTGGGGCTGCCCGAGACACCACGTGGTGACTGCACTGGGCCTCGTGTCTCAGGTCCAAGTGGCCCACATCTCATTAACCTGCTACAAAGTCATCCTAGGCCCACTTCCTCAGCTGCCGTGTCAGGAAGAAAGTGTGGGCCCTGCCCCCAGGCCAGGCCCAGAGCAAGGTGCAGCACTGCCCCGGTCACCTGGACTTGCAGACGCGACCCGGCCCGGTTGCGGTGAAATAGGAACAGGGCTTTATGCCGTTAGATCATAAACACGTTTTTCTCACGGGGAGGTCACCCTGAGCCCACCCACAGGCCTGTCTCATGGTTCACCTGGCTGGCTCAGCCCTGGTGCCAGGGGCAGCGATGGACCACTGACCCACAGGGAGCCAGACAGAAAGAGAACCAACTTCCCGTGGTCACACTGCTGACAAGGCATTCCACATGCACCCCCTCCCCTGGCCCACTCAGCAGCGTATGGTGGGGAGACTGAGGCAGCTGCTAAGGATAAGAGCCCAGGTCTTGTGGCTCCAGAGCCCCTTGCTCCAGCCCGTGGCTTCCTAGGGGACAGGAGGGTCAGGAAGCCCTCCTCTGCCCACCCTCACCCCACCTCCAGCCCCACATCCCCGCCTATCCCACTCTGTGCCCTGTTGGCAGGTCCATGCATCTCCAGGGCTTTTTAGAGTTTATTTAATCGAAGTACAGTTGATTTAGGATGTTGTACTAATATCTCCCATACAGCACAGTGCCGCAGTTATGCACATGTTCACGTTCCTTTTTTGTCCTCTTCCACTGCGGCTTATCGAGGGTGCTGACGCGGTAGGACCTTGTTGTTTCACAGGCTTTTCTACCCCAGCATCATGCCCGTCGTCCCCGCTGAGCTGGGCGCCTGCAGGGATTGGACGCGTCTTCCCTCGTGCTCTGGGAGCCCTGTAACTTCCAGGCGTGGCACAGAGTCTGGCATGTGGGAGCATCAGTGAACGAGAGAGAAAGACAGCGGGGTGGGGCAGAGGGTTGTGAGAGAATGCAGGAGCGACTGAGTGAACCGCTCAGTGTCTGGCAGAACTCCCCAGTGAGCAAGTCCGTGAGACTGATCAAAGGCAGCCTGGCAGGCCCATGCTGGCATCACCGGCTGGGTAACTGTGCATCACTGCCAGTTAGGAGGGGCCTCACAGCACCGTGAACAACCGGGGTTCCTAGGCTGAGCCTCAAAGTGTGTGCAGGGCACCCCCAACCCTGGCCTGGGCGTGGAGGCCGCAAGCCATACCGGAGAGCCAGGACACGCCCCGTATTACAGCAGTGGCTGCGTCACGGCGTCAGAGGTGGCAAAGGACAGAATTAACACGTCACCAGTGCGTACTTTGGGTGTTCGTTTCCACGGGGTGAAAGAACGCACTCCCGTTTTCCTCCTCCCCCGAGCATGTCTTTGTGGTGGAGCAGATGCCCTGGTTTGGGGCTGGCCTCTGGGGGCTGGCGGTGACAGCAGGCGCCTGGGACGCCCTGGCTCCTTCCTGGCATCTTGTTTGCTCCCCACAACGGCCACATGAGGTTGGTGTCCTTACAGCGTCCTTGTCGCCGTCACGTATATCACTCAGGCGCTACCCCGAGGCCCAGAGCGAGGGGAGCCCCAGTGTGGAGGTGCTGGGCCCCCTGGTGGGCTGACAGCCTGGGGCCCCTCCTGATGGGCCCCTCCAAGCTGGGCAGGAACAGGGTGAGGGCAGCTGACAGGTGAGCAGAGCTGGGGGGTGGGTGCGCCCCACAAAAGACCAAATAGTTGAGCTGCAGGAAGCTGGGGGGTGGGGGCCAGGTGCTGGCCACCAAGGCCCCCGACAAGGACAGAACCTGCACACTGGGTCCCTCACTCACCAGGGAAGGGGGCTGCCCATAAGGGACACGTCCTGCTGCCTGCGGCAGAGCTGGCCCACGGGGTGGGCTGCAGACCCTGACGGCAGGGGCACAGGGCGCTAGAACCCAGCAGAGCTGGAGCTGAGGGGGGCCCAGCTCCAGCCGGGGGCGCTGTGAGAACAAAGGCGGGATGAGCAGATGTGCTGGGGGCAGGGGAGGCGGACAGCAAGAGTGGGAAACCACTGCAGCAGGACAGGCAGGTGGGCACAGGTGAGGACAGGTAGGTGGGAGCAGAGGCAGCAAGTCTGGGCACTGGGCCAGGGCCTCACATGCGGGGCATCAGAGGAGCGGGCCGGGTCAGAAGGGGCCCCTTCCCGCTGGAGACCCTCTGGGGCTGCTCTGAGCCCCATCTGGA